ACTGGGTGCCAGGCCAAACAGACACCATTAGTCCCTAACAAACTGAAAAGGCAGGATCTTAGGACAGATTCATAAGCCAAAAGCCAGCTATACATAGAAGAAATCTCTGAGAAGTAGTCATTTCCTAAAGAGATCTAGGTACTAATAACCTATCATAAGCAATTTAAAGGTATCAATGCAGAAAACAAATTTTAAAAAGAGAAAATAAGGAATCGCGAAAGCAAGATGCAATCCCACACCTTGAGCTCACCCAAGCCAATCCAGGGAGCACTGAGGTGGACGTAATTGAAAGCCACTCTAAACACAAATCAGAACATCACGCCCCTGGCTTCCCAAAGACTCATGCTCACTCCTTTATGCAAAAGGCAATCAGTCCATCTCCAAGAGCTGCCAAAGTTCTAACAGTTTCAGCACTGCTGAAAAGTTCAAGTCCAGTCTCCTCTGAGATTTAAGGTAAACTTAGCTGTGAGCCCCTGTGCAAATGAAAAGAAAATTAAACACTTTCAATATGCAATGACACAAAACAGACATTTCCATCCCAAAAGTTATGAACAGGGGTATACAAAGGAATGGGACAAAAGCAATCCAAAATCCAGCCAAGGAAACCTTAAATCCCACAGTTCTATTTCCAGCTCCGAAAGGGCTTGGGTAGCTTTGCCCCTGTGGCACTTCTGGTGGTTCCCATGGCTTCTCTTTTGGACCAGTTCTGCTCCCTCCTTGCAGCTTGCCTCAAAGGAAAGGCTCCTCGCTTCTCCACATTTCTGGGGTCCCCACAGCACCTTCGGCTTCACACTCACAGCTTCACACACTGCCCTCTCAGGGGCTCCCCACCCAGCCTCCCAGGCCTTCTGAAATCTGAACGGAAGCCTTCCTGACCTCACAACTCTTCCACCCTGCATGTGCCTAAAACCAGCCCCACATGGATGATGCCAAGGTCTGTGCCAGCTGGAACAGTATCGGGCTTCCCTCTCTCTGCTGTAGGTAGGGTTCGAATGCCCAGATCTCTGAGCACTCTGAACACAGTCCGCGGGAATAAATTGCCTAGGCCGCCACGATTCTGGAACATGGTGCTCTGGGGCTCTCCTCTCAGAGCAAAGTCTTTCACTTTTGTAATTTCGAGGCTGCGAAGGGTGGAGTCCTGCTGCTTCCTGTGATGCTCTCAGACCATCTTTTCTCCTGTTCTTCCTAAGCAATCAAGATTTCCTCTGCTCTGTCTTTGCAGTCCACAGCTTTACTGGAGCTTCCTTTCTGGCCAAACTCAAAACACTTAAAATCATTCTTCTGGGCTCTTTGCTCTTGATTCTCAACATAAATCTGTTTAAAAGCCCCATGCTACCACCTCAACCTTAGACTTGTCTCGAAATTTCTTCCGCCAGATGAATTAGCCCACCACCCTTAATTTCAGTCTCAGCCAAAGTCTCTGGACGGGAGCAAAATGTAGACAAACTCTGTGCCAAGCCATAACACACATCGCCTGGAGTCCAGCAGCCAGTGCAGTCCTTCTTTCCAGCAGAAACCTCCCAAGCCTGGTCTTCACTGGCTTTCTGGTCTTCTGAGCCCCGAGCAGAATCTCCCATACAGGAGTCCCAGCTCTACTTCTTCTCCAGCATCTCCAAACCTTTCCTAACTCTTGCCCCTCCCACAAGCCAGTTCCAAAGGCTCTTGAGACACAAGGCCAGGTAATGTCACAGCGAACATCCCACTTCTGTGCTACAAAATTTCTGTCATAGATACTTTTCTGTCATTGCCGAGAAAAATACCTGACACCCAAAGTTAAAGGAGAAAGAGTTCAGTTAGCTCACAGTCTGCAAAGGTTTCAGCCCATCACCAGCTGGCTCCAAGGAAGGGTGGCACGGCTAAGGAGCATTGCAGAGGAGAAACAGGTCATGGCACCCACAGGGTAGCAAAAGCAACAAGAGACCTTAAAGGGTCTTTCTGCCCCTTTTATTTTATTCAGACTACTTAGGGCAGGCAGCACTCACACCCTTAATTCTAGTGCCCTCAGGCCTCGCCCCACCATGAATCAATCATACACTATAGAGTCAGTCACCTTCAAAGTTGCCAATGACCAGATGAGGCTCTGGGGGGACATCTAGACACGAACCATAACAGTACTGCGTAAGGTAATAACACAAAAAGTAACATTAGATTACTATCTCAAACCACTCACCAAAAGAAATTCTTGCTGTTCTAAAGATTGAAATGGAAATGTTAAAACTATTAAAAATGATAATATCAAAATGAGTTTTTAACATCTGCGGGAGTTGGGTCTGGTGGTTCACATCTGTAATCCCAGCGCTCAGGAGGCCGAGGCAAGAGGATTGCTGTGAGTTCAAGCCCAGTCAGGGCTACATAGTGAGTTCAAGGCCAGCCTGAATTACATAGTGAGACTCTGTCTCAAAGTATAAAACAAAACAAAACAAAAAAATCACTGAGTAGAAAAAAATATTTCTGAGCAGAAACCACAAAGAAAAGTGACATATGTATAATCCCATGCATACCTTGAATTTTATAGCAAAAGACCAACAAAAACCTACTGTAAAAAAATGTAACCAACACATCCTTGATTTGTAAGTAAACCTTTACTAATTTATGTAAAGGATGAAAGTACAAAGTGAATAATCAGCATAGAACATAAACACAATGTCTGGTCTCAAAATGCTATAAACTTGATTTAAATTAGATTGAGTAGGCCACTCAATATAAAGAGCCAAACAACATATAAAAAGTTTCAAACCATAATTTAAAAAAATGAAAATCAAAAGTAAAATAATAGTTTTTGCTGATCATGTTGGCCAAGTTTTTTAAAAATCTGATGCCTGTAATAATGATTGAGAGTGCAGGATAATACATACTAGTGTATTCCTCTTGGGAGTGTGAACTTGTACCTTCATAAAGGACTGTTTGGCATTGTAGATCAAGTACTCTAATGTATGAGGCAGAATTTACAAATTTGAAATGCCATTTAATGTTGCTCCAACCTTCTGGAACAACAAAACTTAAAATCCCCTGAGTGGTTTGAGGGGGTGAGATTCCTCTCCAAGAGTAACTGTGAGTCCACAGAGCAGTGACAGGAAATGCTGGGGCATGTGCCTCCTCCTCTTTGATGGAGTTGACAGAAAGCTCTACCCCAAGGCCTTGGTGCTCAGGATCTGTCTAAACTGGGCCACAGCCTTTCTTCTGTTCTTTTCTGCCTTTGTCCACGACCCTCTTCCCTTGTCTGTCAACTCCACTGCTGAAGGGACTCTGTGCTACTGGAGAAAGCAACACCTTAACCCTAACCATGATCCTTTCCCCTTAAGCTGGTCCCACCTTGTTTGGCCAACACAGCAAGGAGAGTGAGGGACATCACATCCGGGCTAAATCCTTAATAGGTCTCTGGTAGTCTGCAGCCTGTTTTTCCTTGCAGTGAGACCAGTTATGCTCCTGATAGAGGCTGCTTCATCAGGCTGGATCTGTGTGAAGGTAATGTGGAATAGCATGGAAAGGTAGACGATATGTCCTGTGAGTGAAAGGGCACTGAGATAGTGTTCTCCTGGTTTATCTCAGGCAGACTATTAGTGTTTGTTGGGTAAAGACGTGTGTGTGTGTGTGTGTGTGTGTGTGTGTGTGTGTAAGTAAAACAAAGTCTGATGGGGCTCAGGACATAGTTAGTGGTGGGGCACTTGCCTAGCATGTGTGAGGCCCCGGGTTTAATAGAACTACAAAAAGAAAAGGCGCTAAGAAGGTACACAACAAAGTGTTAACACATTGAATTTAATTTTTCTTCTTTTTGTTTGGCAGGATTTACATTTTTTTCTCTTTGCTTAGCCACATCTTATGGCTGTTCTACAATAAGCATATTCCTTGAGTAATTAAAATATTCTATCCCCAAATCCCAAACCATTCTGCTAGTTTTTAAGATTATAATTTAAAAATGTGTTGCTTTCTTTGCATGATTTCTCCACCGTGATAACTTCTCAGGCAAATACCTCTAATTTCCTTATGAACAACAGAAAAACTGGTTTCAGTGTAACCGCAAATTTTCTATGGAAAATTGAAGAGGGCAAGCCCAGCAGCAAAGATCTCCAGTGTAAGAGTAAATATTTAATTATTTCTGTGTGTGGCCTGAAAATGTTGTGACTCCTAATATGAATGAAATGTGCCTCTCTCAATAAGATATAAGGTGGTTTAGCCACTACTAATTAGGACCCTGGTTCTCTGAGTCCGTCTGAAGTCCACACAAGGGGAGCCCAGTTTCTCACACGATTACAGCTCGTCTGGGGGTAAGGAGAGAGAGCGGGTGAGCCCGGGCCTCCGTCCTACTGCTGCCCGCACCCAGCCCCTCTATTTGCTCTGGCAGGAAGGAGCCCTAGCAGATTTATACAAAAAGTCCAGAGCCCAGAGAAGCACAACACTGTATCTATTGCCAGTGCAGGAGGAATGGGGTGGGGAGCAGAGGACTCCGTGGAGAGCAGGGACAGGGCAGGCTGCCCGCTGCCGCCTCCCTTTCTCTCCTAACTATGCTGCAGGCTGTTCAGGACACTGTGAACACCAAGGAAAAAGCCGAGTTAATAGCGCACACCATCAAAAAATAAATGAAATGAACCCTCCACCCTGAAAATTACAAAACACTGCTGAAATTATTACAGGAGACCTAAATATATGGAAGACACATTATATTCAAGGTTAGAAAATCTAATATTGTTAAGACGTTCAGTTTTCCCAAATTGAAAATCCAGAGGGCCTTTTTTCTTTTTCTTTTTTGGAAGGAGGGTAATTAAAAGCTAATTCTAAGGTGTATGTAGAAATACAATGAATCTAGAACAGTCAAAATAATCTAGAGAAAATGAAAACTGGAAGACAAACTGCCTGATCTTCAGATTTACTATAAAGTTTTTGCAATCAAAACAGATTAATGGAATCGACCAGAGAATTTAGGAAATGAATTAATAACTACACCCACTGATTTTTATCTGAAGTATCAAGTCATTTCAGCAGGTAGAGTAAGATTTTTTTTAACAGAGGGCTGAAATAACTACATATTCCTTAATATATGCCTACTTCTTTATGTGAATAAGGATTTGTGACAGTTCACAGACTTGAATATAAAAAGCAGGGCTGTGAAGTTTTACCAAAAAAACCCAACAACAATGACAACAAAAAGAAATCTTCCTAATCTTAGGATGGGTAAAGATTTATTAGAGAGGACACAGGAAATAGGCAGCATAAAAGAAGAAAGATGAATTAAACCTCATCAATATCAGAACACTGTGAAAATAAATATAAGTCACAGGCTGGGGAAATAGCCTCAATGCACATGTCTTACAACATATGATGGAAATATTCGGCATTTTACTTAATGGTCATTGTGTGGGACAGCTGCCAAAAGTTTCAAATAAAATGCTTAAAAATCTGTTACTGTGATGTATATAAATTATACCTCCATTATTTAAAAGAAAGTTCAGGATAAAAAAGCATGTTGATCCATGGACACAAATGGCTAAGATTCTCAGGGCTAATAGCTACTTATTTTCTTAAATTTTATCTCACAAAATAAGACTAGAACCCCCCTGGCTCCATCCATACTGCCCTATAAACCAGTCCCGGACCCTAACCCTTGAGGACGAACAAAGTCTTGTCTTCTTGTGATGTGTCGCAAAGGAATTGGAAACATCAAAACTGGTGAAATCTTAAATGGAATGATTCAGGACATGCAAAGTTAAGTGAACAGCATGGGAGAGAGGATCTGCCACCTCTAAAGATGCTGGCTGGTAAAAAAGGAGAATTTAGTCAGGGAGAATTACTCAAATAAGATTTTGTATCTTCAGAAAAATACAGGGCAGGGTCTTAAAAATATGGGACTGCAAATTCTCTCTTATAAAGTTGAGTTAAGTAATCAGTGTATTTACTATTTGGTTAGAATTTAAGAACACACAATTCTCCCCACATAAAATGTTTGAACCAGGGGTGATCTTATTTGGTAATTTAACTTAAATGGACTACATTAAGTGACATACAAAGGTTCAACTAACCCCAGCTTAAAAATAACCATATTATCTATGCCTTTCTAGATTTAAAAAAAATAATAGAAAAAGTACAATTCTTAAAAATATAAAATACACAAACCCCACTGAGTTCAGCTTCAGTCTCCAGGTGTGAGTGGCTCAGTGATACAAAATAAAGGCCCGCGGGTACTTTATCTGGGATTGAATGTCGCACTGGCAAGATCAGGCAAGGCTTAGGGACTGAGAAGGACCCTGCTCCAGCACTGGGCCCTCACTGGCATTTTTCTCTTGGCAGCTGAGGTTTCGGATGTTCTCAGTCTGAAACCAGCAGCCCCAGTCACCCTGAGAACCTTTACAGCGCACAGGCAGCCTGGCTCCAGCTTCCCCTTGCTCCCTCCCTCAGCACTACAGGCTCAGGAGGGCTCGTGCTGCCCTGCGGGTGTCAAGCCAGTGGCAACGCATCCAAACACACGCAGCAGGTCTACACGGGGACCCCCACGATCATGTTATTTTTGGGGGAGCAGCTCTCCGGCTCCATGGATATCACTTGGACAGAGTAGCCATGCTCTTCCGCAGCTCTTGCTCGGTCCAAATCCACCAGGCACATGCACTGTTTTCCTGAAACACAGGCAGAGGGCTCTGTGAGATGCACTTCCACTGGCAGGGCGATTTCAGTTGGTCTAAGGTCGTCCGTCTACACAGCGACAGAATCCCCGAGTGCTGTGGAAACTGCTGTTCACACCAAGCCCTGTTCATTGGGCGGTTACAAATATACACTGCAAAGATTTATCTGTGCTCATAAGGAAGGTTAACCTTTTTAACTGTATGAATAAATAAATCTCAAATTAGAACTACAGATACTGTTTTCTACAGTGGTTAAATGCCCTTTAAAGACTTTTCCTCTGTGTTCCTATAAAATTGTGTCATTTACAACACTGTGAGAAAAAAACTGTCTTTGAGAATATCCAAAGTAACTGGCTGACAAAGAACCATCCGAAAGACATTTTCCACTTGGAGTTTTTCCAGACTATGAAGAAATAAGAAATGGAAAATACCTGAGGAAGTTCGTAATTGTGTGATGATGACTTCAGGTAGACAAGCAATGCTCAGTGTAATACACTCTTAATTTTTCAGATCTCCCCCATCCCTACAAAATAATGATACTCTATTTCTTTTGCAGTCTTTCAGAGAGGCAAGAGGAAACCTGACTAGCAAGCAAAGCAGTTAATTTCTTTTCCCTTGGCAAACACAAGCATCAAACTTGAAAAGTAGCTCAGGAAGAAAATGATTTGGGGCTGAATGTATGCAGAGTCATGGTTTACTTTCATGCTTTCAATTGTTCCTAATTCAACATTTAAGTTTCTCCACCCTCTTGAAAAGGTTACAGACTATGCAGATCCACATTCATTTGATTTTTTTCTCAATAATTATGATGCCTGAGTATTATTTTTAAAATACAGTCATCTATTTGAGTGACAGTGAAAACTGCTATACTAAAATGACTTTGGAAATGAAGACAGATAAATGAAATACAAAACTTCTGTGGAAGATAGCGTCCTTATAGAAAAATAAAACTGTGGCAGGTGAACTCAGTAGTGAGAACTGGCAGAAACTCAGATTTAAAATATTTATGTTATGCACGTCCTTAAAAGGACTGTGCTGTAAAGAATGAACTGTGTGAGAAATCATGATATAAAAGGAGATGTCTAGAGCTGGGGATTTAGCTCAGTGGCTCCGCCACCTGCCTCACAAGTGCAAGGACCAGGGTTCAATCTCTGGTACTGAAAAAAATAAAATAAAAATAAAAAATGTGTAGAATTCCACTTAAGCAAAATCATCTCCTCTTCTTCAACAGCTATACGGCTGTATTCTTTTTGCCCTCAAAATGTTGTCCTCCTTCAGGATATCTGTAAATGTTTCCCCATCTACCTTTTAGCTTAAATTAAAACATTCTCTGTCAGAGTGGGATGCTCTACATTCCATCAGGACCCACCCTGGGCTTGTATTTCTCCTCATTTACCGCTGGCTTTGATCCCAGTCTGGTTATTAACTTTTTCTTTTTCGTTGTGTATGAGAATTCGTGTTTTCACATGCTTATGTGTCATTACAACTAAAATTCAGCTGCGTCTACCTTTGGAGGCTGAATAACTTTCTAATGGAATCTATGTGATTTTTTTTTTTTTTGGTACTGAAGATCGAACTCAGGACCCTGAGTTTGCAAGGCGGGTGTGGGGTTGCTGAGCTTAATCCCCAGCCTTTTGATGGAATACATGGCACTGTATGAACCAACCCCACTTCCTGTCAGCAGTCTTGCCCAATCCACTTCGTCCTCAGCTACAGCAACTTCCCTTCAGTCTCTCCTCCACCTCACACCTCCATCTGCCATAGTAACTGTGACTCTGCTGGGTTGTGTGGCTTGAATATGTCCCCCAGACAGCATGAGTCGGAAACCCAGCCCCAGTCAACAGTGTTGGAAGTGGGCCCCAAAGGGAGGTGATCAGGCCACGAGCACAGACTCGGCGTGTTAACGCAGTGTAGTTTGTTATCAGAAGAGAGGGCTCTTTATAAGACAAGCCTGCCCTTTCTTATGCGAACATTCCCCTCTATTCTCCCTCTCCCTTCTCTCTCCCGTTAGGACAGTCAGAAGGCCCTTGACAGACGCCGTCCTTCAGATTCCCCAGTCTCCAGAACTGGGAGCCAAATCAATTTCTGTTCACTATTACTCAGCCTGTGGTTTTCCGCTCCAGTGGTACAAGTGGATTGAGCTGCGGATCTGGTGCAGTTATAACAAAGGTCAACTGGACCAACTCAGTGCTGGAGAGGGAAGTGTTTCCGTCTCAGAGCGTGAGACGAGAAGGGAATAGCTGCTCCCTGTCTCAGGCCGCGGGCCTTGCGAGTATAAAGCTGTTTCCCGTGCAATGAATGCACGCTGATTCTTATCCTGAGCTCAGCCAGCAGGCAGTCTGTTTTCTAGTGCACTACGGATGGTAACAGGGTAGCTGGGATTCTGGAGGAGGGAGTGGCAGGGCCCAACTGAGGCTTCTCTGAGTAATTTTGAAGATTATTTGGTTTTACCCATTGAGCTTAAGCCCTGATTTTAGGAACCCAACTTCTAGTGGTGACTCCAGTGTGCTGAGCAGTACTGCAAGAGTGAGCAAGAGCTTCAGTCTGGAATCACGTAATATGACTCACAGTGCAGTTCTATCATCCGCCACATGAAGAACACCAGGGAAGCTTTTGTCTTGGTCCTCTCACATTAAGATATAAATGATATTACACACCTCCTAAGCACATTTGCGAGTTCCTTCCGAGGTCTCAGGTGAGGCCATGTAACTCGCTGTCTAAATGTATAACGACAATTCTGATGAATGGTCAATTTCTTTTTTCTAAAATCTTTCATAAATCAAATACATCATAAATTTGAAATACTTCTCTGGCCTTCTGATCTAAGTAGTGCTTAGTATTGCAAATGTTGAATACATTTCTCTTGATGAATAATATATTTTTTTCTGAGAAAGAAAACATCCTCATCGATACATTTTTCGTACATCAATTTTGGTGTGCACAGTGGACTTCCCCATCTTTACTAACTTCTTTGGTGTCCTTCGATAGATCCTGCAGTTGGCCCATCACAGAAAGAACGCTATTCTATTCAGTGTAAAAGCACTGAAAATGGACCGAAAAGTATTACCAAGATGGCTCGAGATGTCATTGCAAGTACAACACTCCTGCTGATATGGGCTAGATTTCCTGGGAAGTGCACACTCCCGTTTCTCGCTGCTACATGGTCCAGTTGTGCCCGTCTACACTCAAGCTACCTGCTCCTTGGCAATCGTGCACGTCCACACAGCAGCTGCCCTGCGAAACACGCACCTATGATCCTGCGCTGGGGCGGGAGCTGGACGGCTGTCTGATCTGCAAACCTGCACAGAACCATGTGTTCCTGAAAGAAAAGGTAACAGAATAGGGCTTTAATCTTCTGCTTTAAAGCTGTAAAAACCCAAAAAGAAAACAGCTACTTCCCTTGTTTCTGGAGTTTCACCCTGAACTGAGTAAATACTACACAGACAGTACTTCTGGAAGAAGCAAAGTTTGAGGAGTTGGTACCCACGGCTTCTTCCCTTCACTCACACTGATCTTCAGCTGAAGTTCTTAAGAAGAGTCTCACACTCAAGGTCACACTGCCCCACTGCTTTTACCAAAACAGAACACAATGTTACTGTGTGTTCCATTAAAAGGCCAACAGCTCCTTCATTTTTCGTTCATAAAATTTACTTGAATCTCTTGGCCTGGGCGCCCAGAGGACACGCTGTATAAGTGGAAAAGGAGGCCAGGCGCTGGCCAGCTGTGGCTCCAGTGGTCCCGGGAACCCGCGGGCTGTGCTCTGGGCCTTTCCCCAGGCTCCTGTGCCTGGCCCTTAGCACAGGGCAGCCTGGCACTCTCCACCTCACTCCAAAGGCTCCAGATGGCCCATCCCTCTCCACTGTAAGACAACCCCAAGGGAGACCCCAGTAAAGGGAAGGAAGATTTTTACTTCTATCAGTTTTAGGAAGGGTTTCATTCATGGGGACAAAAAGGCTTTAAAGGATCAGAGTCGGTCCACAAGTGGCCCAAGGAGAGTGGCTGGGAACAGCCCAAGTGACTGCTAGGCCCCGCTGGCCGGGCAAACAGGGGCACCCAGAGATACCATGAGTCCTAAGCATGCCGGGCATGAAGTCTGAAGCCTCTGTTTTTACAAATACAGTAAGAGATGTGATTGTGGCAATTTTCTAAGCAGGGAGATATTTGTCTCAACTTTTATGTATTTAAAAATATTATAATGTTCACTATAAATTATAATGGCAAAGGGTGGGAAACTAATACAATGATTTGAATGAATAACTTTTATAAATTCCCACAAACTAACTGGCCTCAACAAGGAGCCAGAAGAAGAATTCAGAATAGTGTGATCTGAAGAAAAGGCAAAACGCAGCCGTGTCCTCTGTCCTCGTGCTGTTCCTCAGCCAAGGTTCGTGGATGGTCGAGGAAGTAAGGCACAACCTCGGGCCTGGTGCGATCCTCTCCCTCTGTTTTATGATCTGTACGTTCTCTTTCTGCACAGCTGAGTGTGAGAGGGCATCACACACTGCAGGTCCCCGCAAAGATTTCCTGCTGAATCTAACTGGAGAAGAATGTCTCCGAAGCGTTCTCAGAGTGTGTTGGCTCACGTGCCTTCCAGGGCAAACATTCTGAAGGAGCCGAGCGATTGTGAGATGTCATCTTGTCACAGGACCAAGCTGTGACTGCTCTGCAATGCAGGCTGGTACAGAGCAGCTCTGGGGGAGCAGGAGGAAGAGGAGGCACCAGCTGGGACCCTGGGGAGCTGCTACCCTGGAGTGGCCTATGTCCCGCGTCCCCTTCTGGCGAGGTTCACACTTGTCCAGCCAGTGGGCTGTAGCCCATCTCCTCGCTGCCTGAGTCTCCCCTGTACCCTCTTATTGTGTGCTTTGCTAGCAGTGGTGGAGGGACTGAAAAAGAGGGATCTACCTTTTGCTTTTCCCAATTTATTTCCTACTTCATTGGCAGAGCCCTGTGACAGAAAGCTGAGGTACTGTGTTTTGAATCTTATTCAAATAAAGATTCTGGGGTCCTAATGTTTCGTGAAAATCATAAATTTCCTAGGATGTGACAATGTTTAATCTGACAGTGATGTCCAGCATAGTCAGAGGGAGGAAGAGGGGAAGAAGGCGCGCCAGGGCACCCTTCAGGAAGGAGGAAGGAGAGGTGACAGGTACAGCCGCTGAGGTGGCAGAAAGAACAGGATGTGACACTGTACTCCACCATTTCACTGTAAGACGGAGAAGGTAAAATCCATAAAATGTAGGGGCTGGTCTAAAATCAAACTGTGTTTTCAGTGGGTCTGCATAAGTGAAATTGAGCAAAACAAAAAGCCAAACTAATTTATCAAGTTTCAGTGGGATTATTTCTGTATTCCTCTTGCATGTTACTAGCCCTGTTTATGACTGTTACGCAAATTACTTAGTCTAGAGGCTCAGCCCAGCAGGAGGTAAGTGGTGCAGGGTGCTGGCCAAAGCTGGGAACCAGTTGTCTCTTGGAGCTTTCACACCTGTCAGGGATGCGGCTGGCCCTGGCTCCAGACGAGGGGCACCAGTCCACAAGCAGGCAGCTCAGAAGCAGTTTTAGGGATGGATTGTGAGTTAGTAGAGTTTTTATACTCTAAGAGAGTTCTAAGCTAACAGTGACAAGGACAAGGGCAAATAGGAACGAAGTTTGTTTCCGGCTAGCAAAGTCTAACATATTTGCTATCTGATTCTTTATAAAGGAATTTTTCTCTAGTTGAGATGACTATTCAAGCTTGTTTTTTAAAAGCACAGACTCCCGGTAGAGGCACCCGGCCCATACCGGCGCGGGCCATAGGGAGTCAGGGTGACAGAGACCAGTCACTGCTCACTGCTGTTCTGCGCACCAATCTGCCTTCGGTCTCATACTCGCGGCTGTGATTTGTTCTGCTGGCATCCAGCAGACCTCGCTAACTCACTGTCCCAAAAGGAGGGAGCACCAACTGCTGGTCCTTCGCTGACCATGCCAACCACTGCAAGGCTTTGGCTGGAGCCATTTTAGACGTTTCCAAGTGACATAGTGTACACATGGGCTATATACATTCCATTAGAAACTCGGGGAAAGTGTGAGGAAAGGGTAAAAAAGTACACGAGGAAGACAGCTAGAGCTTTTTAAGGTTACCTTGTATGATAAAGTTTTCTTGAATTGTTCACTGAAATAGAAAAGAAAACTGAATTAGCCATGATTCTAAAAAATTAAGCACACCAAATAAACTGGTGTGTGTGTGTGTGTGTGTGTGTGTGTGTGTGTGTGTGTGTTGTATCTGAAGGACATAAAATGCTATCCTAGGGCTGGGGGTTTAGCTCAGTGGTTCCACCACCTGCCTTGCAAGCTAAATTCGACTCCCAATACCAAAAAAATAAAAATAAATAAATAAAATGCTATCCTGAAGTAAATGCCAATTTGAAATGTATAAAAGGACAAAAGCAAGCCACCAGTGTTGCTCATTTTAAAGGGTTTCTTTCACAGATTGTTTACTGTTAAGAGAAGCACAGCCATTATTTTTTCTTTTCAACCTCAAAGGATCAAGTGGAAGTACTGTAGTCTTGTGGTGGGGGAGTCTGATCATTACTGAGACCAGGCGGGGAGGCCGAGAGTGCACAGGCAGTCGCCCCTGCGCAGAGGCTTCATTCCTCCAAGGTCTCCTGGAAGAGGGGCCCCGCATGCCAGTGGGGGCAGAGGGGTCCAGTCATCACGGGCAGGGACCTGATTGCGGGACCCTGGGCAGCAGAGGAGCAGCCGGAGGGGTGCTGGTTCATGTGGAGGGGTCCTCCTCATCCACCCCACCCCCAGCGTGCTGGGACGGGATCTGTGTTCAGGTTCAGGAAGTGCCAGATGTAACGAAGGGGGATGTTGTGGGTAAGGGCCCTGGGTTGGCTGGTTTGCAGGTAAAAGTCGTACCTGCCAGCAAGTCATTTACTTGGATGTCAAAACATCAGAAAGCAAAAAGGCACACATACACCAGTAGACGGATGCTACCACAGCTGTCCAAGGCAAGCACACGTCCCCTGTGTACTGGCTTCTCAATGCTGTAGCTCTGGCTCTTAGTTACCTCACCGAAAACATACATCTGTACATAGACCATGTCAATTACCTTGTTCGAAATGAGTTTCTGTCTCCACATATTTTAGAAACGCTAGCTATTCACAAATTCCCCACTCTATCTTTAGTGACTGAGAGAGGTCTTACACACACATAAAATCAACTTTCTAAAGACATCAGTTCCAAGGGAGGGAAATGTCAGTAAATCTACAGGGATATGAAAAAATTAAAACTAAATGAAGGCATTTAAATTAGTGAAGTTAGAAGCTGAACAAGTCAACTTAGCATTCTTCAGAATCTTTTTTTTTTTTTTTGGTACCAGGGATCGAACTTGGGTCCTTGTGCTTGCAGGCAGGTGCTAGAAACAATGAGCTAAACCCCTGGCCCTCTTCAGAATCTGTATAGTGCTAGACTTATAAATTTCTTAGTTAGTTGCAAAAATACACATTTTATCAGTATAGATTTAGAATAAAATGAGATTTCAATGGTTGAATAAGCCTCAAATTATATTTTATTGTTGGCTTTTTAATAGCTCCTTTGGCTTTTTCCTCAGCTAGCTGTGAATTATAGTAAGAACAAAGTAAAAGACAAAAAAGATGGCTATTTGCATTTTACTTTGCTTATTATATGGAAACCTTTAAATATAAATTTAAAGGAAATTTTCTGAAGTATCCTAGAAATAATGATGTAGCTGATCAAGGAGGTTTTTGGCCGCGCTGTAGGACAATGTTTCCAGAGTAACATGGATTCATCACCAATGATTCACAGCAGAGTAGCTCTCAGCAGGACCCGGGAGCAGAACCTCCACCACGAGGCAGCAACAGCCACTGACCATGGGCTGAACCCCGAAACCCTGAGCCAAAATATATCTTTTCAGTTGTTTATCTCAGGTACTTTGTCTCCCAGTGGAAAGCGAACACAGAACTACTTAAAAATATTACTGCTCCTGCTGTTCCTAGCGACAGTTCCCATTTATTGAGTGTCTACTCTATTCCACTTGTACCACACATATGACTATGACAAAAATTGTTGCTACTATACATTGTTACTAGTCCAGCCCTTATTTTAAATGAGAAAACAGGCAAAAAGAATAAGTAACTTGCCTGGGATTAAGTAACCTATAAGACGATAAGGGGCCAAGAAGTGTGCATCCAGGTCCCGAACACTCCCCACTGCATTCCACTGCCTCTTCTAAATGGAGGCTTTAGTTTTATTTAGAAGACACAGACGTGCTGAAGTGATGGACCTCCAGGTGACTGACTCCTAGACAGACTTGCTTCCAACTTCAGCAGGGGTGGGCCAGGGGAAAAATCAGGACAGACAGAGAGGAGACACTCCTTTCCCATAACATTTATGAATACTTGCATTGTGAAAAGAGTAAATGTTCTCAGATGAAATCTTGCAACCACAGCAAACAAGTCTTGTGTGCTAGTTTATCTACATATATTAGTATCTCGGTTAGGAGTGGTAAACATCACCTTTTTGGAAAGTTGAACTTTGAGGTGTTCTGGATGAAACCATAACAACAGGGGCAGGTGACGAAGGAAGCCCGGGTTTTGATGCACTGTTCAATCACCATGTCTGTTGCCACTCCACAAGCATGCAAGGCCACCTGGAAGATGAAACCAGAACTCTCCCTTAGGTCCTTTAGCCAACATTGCAACTTCTGTGTCTTTAAAAATGTGTGACTGATCCCTGGGAGGTTTCAAGTTACCAGGGTATCATTCTACAACAGTTTAAACTGTTCTTATTTGGAAACACCAAAGGGCTGCTCAGCTATTCATATTAAGAAAATCAGGCCAGGTTGAAAGATTAGCAAAGGAATACTGTAAATAAACCAAAAGACTCATAGTGGGAAATGTAGTGTAACATTAACTGTAGGAACAGAATACACATGGATACCTATACTAGCGCTCCTGGTAATTATGAGTTTAGTTCAGTTGTAGTACTATAAGAAAAACACTAGAACTGAAATAAGGATTCCAGTCTAGAATTCCAGTTTGCTGTCAGCCCTGTGATCCCTTTAAATTTAGCTTCCTTAGGCCTTTGCCTTCTCAATGGGAAACCATGGCTATCAATACTGATTTATCACAATGCTTACAGAACTGAAATAAAAATTATCTGAAAACACTTTTATAATTGCTGCATGAATATAATTTAATATAAAAACTGACCTAAACTTTTTTTTTTTGATACCACGGATCAAACCCGGGACCTTGCACTTTTGAGACAGGCAGCAGCCCCACTGAGCTAAATTCCTGGCCCAGACCAAATCATTTTTAGTTTTTGTACTGGGGACTGAACTCAGGACCTTGTGCTTGTGAGACAGGTGAGGGAACCACTGAGTTAAATCCCAGGCCCCAGATCAAATCTTTTGTTGTTGTTGTTTTTGGTTTGATTTTTTTTTGTTTTTGGTACTGGGGAACAAACTCAGGTCCTTGAGCTTGTGAAGCAGGCACTGGAACCACTGAGCTAAATCCCCAGCCCCCAAATCATTTTTATGTAGCATGTTTCCAGGTGTTTTCATGTAATAATCTTTAACACTGAAAGATGAGTTGCATCAACTATTTTCAAGAACGTATTTTAAAAGGGAAGGCTGAAATTGTTAGAATAATGAATAGATGATTATAAAACATTTTCAAAGCACATATCCTTAAATGTATTTATATTTATTATAATCTACAATAGACAATTATGAAAATTATTAGGTTAAATAAGACAAAGTAGGACTCTGAAGGAAAATCAAATGTGGGGATCCTGAAAAACAAGAAAACAAAATTATTACATTTTCCAGAAGAATGCTCAGATCTCGATTTCATTCTAGGCAGAGACAAACTGTACTGATCGTACTTTTCTAGGCAGCACGGCTAACAGGAATGCAGGATACGGATCCTGCTTCCCACCTGCCATCTTTATTCACTCGCCTCTGCAGAATAAAAAGCCAGGCCGATCTTTATTTTCATAAGCAGGGAGAAAATCTCACGGTAATAATTTTGGATGCATTTTCCGCTGAGCGCGAGAGTGGGACAGACATGGCCACGTGCCCCAGTGTGCAGGCCCCGTAGCAGATGACGGCACGCAGGACACTGGTGCTCACCACCGCCGGGAAAGGGTGAGCACCACAGTGCACAAGGGAGGAAACGAGGGCATGGACAAAATGAGGACTTGCTCACAACACACAGCCACTTCCGTCTAGGAGGGGCAGAACTCGGAGCCCACAGCGTGACCTGATTCCATCAGGGTGCCTGAGGCTCCGAACAAAGAAAAACATAGACAACTTACTTGCTACTTGCAAAAGAGTGGTTTATTTTTCTTCTTTTAATAAAATAACTAACTCAAAATATGGATTTTAGGTTTACAATGTTTTACTGCATCCCAAATTCCTAATTTCCACAGTTACCAAACATAGGTTAAAAAATAATAGAGAAGTAATGAGGAGAGGTACAGAGATAAGTAACATTACAATTTAGGTAGTGTTTCAAACCAGGGAAGAAAAGTCAAGCTTTTCACTAAAGGGTGCTGGATTAACCTGAAAGCCACATGAAAAATAAAAATAAAATATTTTCCTCATACCACATGTAGGAAATACATTTCAAATGGATTGCAGCTTAAAATGCAAAAAATTAGACATGGGTCAATTTCTTCATAACCTAGGGGAATGGGAAATTCCTCAAGATCCTGAAGATCCACACACAATACAGGGTAATGTTAATAAAGTTGGCAAAATGAAAATTTTTAAAAATGACTTTTGGATGGCAAAAACACAAAACCATAACTAAAAAGACAAAGGACAAACATTTATACCATAAAGTGTTAATAATCCTAAAATATAACAAGTTCTAAAATATCTCAGAATGTGATGGCAAAACAAGAGATTTGAATGGTGTACTCATACATTATGCAGATGGTCTGAACTGGTCTAGATCTAAACTCTCCCCTGAAGTCTCACATATGTGGCGGTAACTGGAACACGAGGTGTCGATCTCATCCACTGCTGAGCTAAACGCACTGGTCACAGAGTGGACGCAGGGGCTGACCTGGAAGGCATCCTGGATCCAGTTCTCAGCTCCCCCTTCCCTCTCTGCTTCCTGCCTCCCTGAGTCGAGCAGCTTTTCTCTGCCAATCCTTTCCTCGTACTCAGAGCCAGCCACACGTGGAATGGAACCGTGACCCAAAACAAGTCTCTCTTCCTTTAAGTTGGGAGTATTTTGGCCCCAGGAATGAAGTTGTTGCTGTGACTGTACCGGACCAGGTGGTATAGCCTTCAGAAGAGGTTGCGAGGAGGGTGGGACGATATGGAGGTGTGCGCTCGAGAAGTCCTAGAATCTATGGCCAGTGCCGATGATTGATTCCTGTCAGAGCTCAGACCAGAATGTGGGGATGCAGACTGTGAAGACCAGGCTCAGGAAGCTACAGTTGGGAAAAAGGATTCTCCTGGCCATTGGGCTAGAGGTCAAGTGTGTTATACCCCGCAGAAAATTTGTCTTCATTTTTGCCCATATTCTGAGACTTTTTGGGAAAGGGGTGGATTAGTTGATCTGGTGGAAAAAATTTCAAAGCAGCCCAAGCTGTGACATGGGTACTGCTGATTGCTTTTAGTCAGATCTTTAATGAGAGTCAGGAGCAAAAGCAAATGTGAAAAATCTGCAGTTTCATCAGAAAGGACATACTTGCAAAGTTGTGGCCTTAAAAAGCGTGGTTACTGAAAATATTAGTATTTTGTTAAACCACAAGGATAAAAATATGAGAGATGGGAATAATGTGTTAGGCAGAATCATCCCCTAAGGATGCCATGACTATTTCCTAAAACCTACAAACAGGGCCAAAAGGATTTTGCAAATGTGATTAAGGTTTGGTCTTCAGAATAACAAGATTATCGTGGGTTACATGGGTGGGCTTCATCTAATCATACAAGGCCTTAAAAGCAGATTTTCTCAGGGGCAGATTTTGAGATAAGACAGAAACGGGAGGGCCAGAGAGACTTGAGCCACCAGAATGACTTGGCACCCCAGGCTTTCATTGTGAAGGAGGACATGAGCCGGGAAAGGTGAGTGGCCTCTAAAAGCAGAGGATTCCTAGCTGACAGCCAGCAAGACAGATGAATCTCAGTCCCGTAACCAACAACCTAGATGGCCTCAGGCTAGATTCTACCTTAGGGCCTTGGAGGAAGAGTCCAGTCAACATTTGGCCTTTGGTCTTGTAAGAAGCCAAGAGGAGAAACCAGTGGACGAGGCTTAGACTTCTGAAGCACAAAACTGTTAGATAATTGTTATTTTAAGATGTTGAGTTTTGGGTAAGAGCATAAACAGAAAATGGATTCAGATGAAAGTCTGTAGACTATATGCTGTATGGTTCACATTAAACCATTTTAATTTCTATGCCTTCTTTCTTTCTTTTTTTTTGATACCAGGGATCGAACTTGGGTCCTCGCGCTTGCAAGACAAGCTGCGGAACCACTGAGCTAAATCCCCGGTTCTACTTTTTGGTTTTTTGAGACAGGGTCTCACTATGTAGTTGAGACTGACCCGGAACTCACTATGTAGCCCAGGCTGGTCTCGAACTCACAGCAATCCTTCTGCCTCAGCCTCCCAAGTGCTGGGATTACAGGTGTGTGCCACCACGCCTGGCTATACCTTCTTTCAATAATGATTAAAATAAGTAAAAAATTATCAGATAACTAGGGAAATCTGAACCTTTTTAAGATAGAAAATTATACTGTGGTTACTTCTTTTCTTTTTTAAAAAGATTCTTAATTTTTTGGGTAGTGTGGGAAGTGAAATCCAGGGCCTCATGCATGCTAGGCGAATGCTCTACCACAGAGTAACTTCTCCAGTCCAAGATTTAAATTTTTAAAAATAAGAGTTTTAGGTTGACAGCAAAACTGAGAGAAGAAAAGAATTTCCATATACCCTTTATACTCCCCCATGTGCATAGATCTCCTCATTATCAGCAGCCTGGACCTCAGTGGAAGACTGTCAAAAGTGGGCAAGTAGGCGACCCACACTGACACACCCTCATCGCCCAAAGTCCATGTCACACTAGGTTCACTCTTTCGTTCTAGGGGTCTGGATAAATGTGTACCATGTGCTAAACAGAGTCTCTTCGCTGCCCCCAAAATTCCCGTGCCTTTGGCCTCTCCTCCCACCCCACCCCTGGCAACAACTGATTGTTTTGTGGTCCCCACTGCTCTGCCTATCCCAGAAGGCCATTCAGTTGGAACCGCGTAGGGTGTAGCCCCTTTCTGTTGGCTTCTTTCCCTAGTAAGGTGTCTGAGCCTCCGCCCTGTCTTTTCATGGCCTGGCAGCGCAGGTGTTTGTACTGAGGCACATCCGTCATACGGATGGACTACTGATTATCCACTCACCCACGGGAAGACCTCTTGGTTAATTCCAAGTTTGGGCAGCCATGAATAAAGCTGCTATGAACAGGCACACACGTTTTGGAAAAGAAGCAAGGTTGGAAGTCCTTTGGGTAAAAACATGAGAGGAGCAATGTCTGATTGTATGGCAGAGTATGATGAGCGCTCCGAGCAGCTGCCAGACTGGCTTCCCACCTGGGAGGTGCCGTGGCACGTCCCCACCAGCACGGAAGGAGGGTCCTGCTGCTTCACATTCTTCCCACAGTGGGCCGCTCGAGTGTTCTGGACTTTGGCCACCCTAACGAGCACAGCGACAACTCGTGGCTGTTTTCATTGCCCGATGACATATGATATGGTGCTTTTCGTATGCTTATTCCCTACCCCTCTACTTTCTTTGGTTAGGTGTCTGACAAAGCTTGGCCTATTACCCATTTGGGTCATTTCTGATAGCTCAATTTTAAGAGTCCTTTGTTCATTTTAGCCAAGAGTCCTTTACTGGTTCTTACATAAGTCCTTTAAAATGTTTTCTCCCACCATGGCCTTTTCTCATTCTTTTGATGATGTCCTTGGCAGAACAAGTTTTTTTAACTTTAATAACTCTTTTTTGGGTGGTTGGTAAATCATCACCAAACCTAGTCATTCAGATTTCTCTCTATGTTTCTTTTAGAAGTTTTACTGTTTGATTCACTTTTCCTTTAGGTCTGGGATCCACCTGAGTTAACCTGTATGACAAGTGTAAGGTCCATGTCTAGAGTATTTTGTGCAGAGTCACGTTCAGTTGCTCCAGTATCATTTGCTGGAAAATATATTTTTAAAATGATTGTTATTTATTTTTAATAGATAATTACACAAATTTTTATGAGTAAGATGAAATGATGTTTGGGATTTGCTTCGAAATAGCCCAGGAGAGGGGAAATGCAGGGTGTAAAGGAAGCAAGGATGGCTAGAAATTAAACTGGGAAATTCCACGTCTACATCAGGGATTCTCTTATGAATGCTAAAGTTTAAGGATGGCTGTTCCAGAGCAGTGCTTCTCAACCTGAATGTGCCATCAGAAAAAGGCACATCTTACTGAAACAGAAGAGAAGCTGGATGCAGAGACTCAGGGAGGTGGGAATCTGCATTTCCAACAAGCTCCCATTTGCCATTCATGGTGCTGGTGCCCCCAGTGCTCTGGGGATTTCATTTGGCTTTCGGGCTTGATCGATGGATTGGTTAGGTATAGAACTTCAGGTTGAAAATCAGCCATCAGAGCTTTGTGTGCATTTCTTCACTACCTTTGAGGCTCTCACACTACTACTATTAAGAAGTATGGTGACATTTTGATTCCAAATTATTGTTCATGACCTGTTTTCCTCCTTTGTGGAAACTGGTCAGAAATTCTTGTCATCTTGGTGTTCTGAAATTTCACCACTTACTTTGGTTTAGATTATTTTCCAATAAACTCTACATCAGAAGAAATGTATTCTTTATTTTAAATATGTTTTTTCTTAAATTAGTTGATTGATATTTTCCTTCCCATTCCTTTATCTGCTCTCTCTTTCTGGTCTTCCTATTACTAAGGTATTGACTGGATTCTTGGACTGAACCTCAATTTTTAAAATTGGTTCTTTCCATTTCTTTCTTTTCTTTGTTCTATTTTTTCAACTGACCACTTAACATTTCATCTCCCTTCCTTCCTGCCCCTGTCCTGATTTAAATTTGATCTTCCTCCCTCCATTCTTTTGTCTTTTCTGGTGTTCTCCCCACTTTTTTCCCCTTACTGGGGATAGAACTCATGGTTTGTGCTTTACCACTAAGATGCATTTCTAGTTCCCAAATCGGTGCTTTAAACTGCTATGTGTATTTGCTTCTTCCTTTGTTTAATCACATTGTTAAGAAACCACTGCAAGTACCAAGTAAATGAGGTCGTCAGTATGCTCATCTCACTGGACATTTGCAGCCCACGAGTAGTGATACTTTAAAATTTTGTGGATTTGTTTAAATTAAAATGCATTTAATTTCCAGAGACTCTGAATATTTTCCTATGTTTATGAGGCATTTGTATTTGTAAAAAATATATTTCTCAAGTAGGCACAATGTAAATCAGAAACCTGAAGGAGGTGCAGCATGCCAGGGGTACTAAAAGACTTCAATACAACAAAGACTGAAAATATTTTGATTTTTTTCCCTTCAATTATTTCAAATCAAACTAGATTAATAAGTCAGTAAATATACTCATTTTTGCTTGACACAGGTTGTTGTATTAATGAAAATAAATTAACAATTAGTATTTAAAATTCTCATGTATAAACAATTTGTTAGTTTCTGAGAATTGATTCTGACTTAAAAACTTCCTTAGAGTCTTGTTTACACCATAAATTTTAATATCGAAAGAAAAATAACAAAAAAGTACTTATTAAGCAAAGGTAAATGCCAAAAAGGCCCTTATTAAAATTTCACACAATCATGGCTGATGTAATTTTAATGTGTTTCCAGTGTTCAGTTATTCTGATTTCCTTTGGGGCCCCACTATTTTTACTGGATTCTGTTTTACATGAGAGTTACAGCCACTGATTCATTTCATCTGATTTATTCAGTGACAATGCCTCAATTATCTTCCTAGGCAAATTATTTCCTTGAGAGTGAATCTAATTTTGGCTTAATCTTCTAAGTGACTTTAATTCATGTGCTTTATACCTTGACAGATATAATTATAAAAAGAGGGGGAAAAAGCTATTATAGGCATATAATCATGAAACATAAAGAAAAATATTATATACTTCCATAAAGACAGTTTTAGTTGGTTTTATGAATTATGAATCAGAAGTCACACGAATATGGCAGTATGAGTCTGCACGTGTAAGCCACAAGGACCAGTGTGCAGGGCCAGGGACCTGTGCTGTGAGAGGGAAATGGGCAGTTACCTCTGGATACCACAGCCTTTCCCCCTGATATACTGGTTACAAGGGCTTGGTGACTAGCCTGCTTACCACAACACTTATGTTAAATTAAAGCTGTTCACAGGTATAGTTTTAGTGAACATTTTCTAGATCTTATGTGTACATTTTCCTGAATTTCCTTGTTAATAGTTACCTCTACTTGGCTTTATACAACTACTTTAGATTATGTCTACAAGGAAACAAATTATACACTTTTTAGGTTGGAAAAAAAAAACCTCAAAAGTCAGAAGTCAGTATTTAAGAAATGAACTTCACTGGACAAAACATAAAATTACAAAAGGTCTGAACTTCTGAAGTTAGATAATAATCCCACCTAGACAAGCCCATGCTTATACGAACACATATAATTAAGTTAGGGAACTTTCCTAGTAAATGATTTAGCAAAGGTATTATGATTCTTAAATGATACATAAAATATCCATTACAGTAAGAACTACATTATAACAAAACAGTAAAAAAGTAGGGAAATGATTTATCACAGAGCTTAATCTATGCTTCAGATGGGGAGTCTCATGTTCAGAGGTAGGGCTTTGGAAATGTCATTGGATCACGGGGCGCTATACTCATTAGTGGATTAACTCACTGATGAATTCACAGCTGCATGTGCTGCTAGCAGGTGGGGTCTCGCTGATGAACGTGCTCACCATGGGGTGGGAGGAGGCCTTGGAATGACCTTATTTTGTCCCTGGATCCTCCCTTCTCTCTCTGCTTCCTCGCCAACCTGGGGCGCACAGCTTTCCTTTGCCATCACATTCCATCTTGCTATTTCTGCCTTGGAGTCAGCCACCTACGGACTGAACCTTCTGAAACCGTGAGCCAAAATAAATCTCTACTTATTTAAATTGTGGGGGTCTGGTATTTTATCCTAGCAATGTGAAAGTGATTAACATATACATTTAAGGTAGGATATGTATATAAGGCTGAACAATATTAACATACGTACAAATTTGCATTTGTATGTGTGAATAAATACAGAAAGACCAAAAAGTTTTGGTAAAGGTCCTAATAGTAGATATAGTCACATTACTAGAAAAATTTCTATATTGAGCATTTATTCCTATAAAAGTCAGAAAAATGTTATTTAAGATGAATAGAAGGAATAGCAGCAACAGTGACATCTTAATAAAATACAAATTTCCAAGAGAATCTATAGAATCTGGAGTGTACATGAGCTGGCATCTTAGGTCTTTTTAGTGATCTCAAATAACAATTTCACCTAAGCATTTAATAGTTTGATCAAAATACTTCTTGTGTCTTAGAAGCTAAAAAATACATGTAGATATTAAATCTGAGCTACAACATTATACAAAGGTAATTCTAGTATTTAGAAGTCACTAACAAATTATTTTTCTTTTCTAAAATTATCTTTTTCATAAAGATGATGTGGTTTTTCTATAAAATGGAATACTACTCAGCCATAAAGAATGAGGAATTAGAGTTATTCATAGGAAAATGGATACATTTTGAGGATACACTCCCAAGTGAAATAAATAAGTCACACACGTGTAAATACTGAATAGTTTCTCTGGTGTGAAAAACTATAATAGTATATAAGATCCTAATGGGGTAAATAACAACATGAAATAGGAAGAAAAGAGCTAAAGGTATAGGGAAAGTGGGAAGGGTAGGTGAAAGGGAATAAGGGAAAAGAAAAAAATATGAGAAAATGAAAAAATGGAAATGAAGTGTTTGTAAATGGGGAGGGGAGGAAGGGGTGAAGGGAGGGCAGGGACAAGGGGAAAAAATGAGAACCAAGACCTGTCATGTAAAGGTACAAGATCCCAGTAGTGAATGTAACTATACTGTGTACCTGGAGTGTACCAATAAACTCAATAAAAAGAAAAAAATAAAATAAAATAAAATTCTTTTTCATTTCTACTGTCTTTCAAAAATGCAGAAATAAACCAAGGCATGTCATTGGTATTAGAACTCATTTAATGAAAAATCATTTTCGAGTATTTTCTATGTGCCAAACACTAGTCTTCACCCTAGAGACCTCTAGTGCAGGAAGTAACATCTTCTGTGGTGGTAAGTCCAATGTTATCTCTGTCACCTAATGATGTACGATGAGTAACATTATAATTATATGCTCTACTTCACAGGTAAGTGTAGTAAACGATAGGCTTGTTTGTTAGGAAAGAATATAATATAATTTCCCTTATTTATTGTAGGGCATGTAATTTTTCTTACTTACATAAAGAAATGGAAATTGCTTGAATACTTACCCCAATATTAAACATTCCCGCAAAATACTCCATATTTGCTTGAATGAACCAAATGTTGCTTAAACCTAATTCATCGCTTCTCTTCTTAGCACGAATTAATGATAATTCCTTGTTTTCTATTAATATAACCTATATTTTACCCAGAAAAAAAAGTATGTTCAGTACCATTATTCAGGCTCCAGTGCAGAGCATTATTACAATATTTCACAGCCTTAATAACATGCAGCATACTATAGTGATCCTCTGTCCTGTGTCAGAAATTAGGCCATTTAACCTGGCACAGACAGCAAGGTCTTTGAACCCTTGAAACTTAGTACGAGTAATACTTGCTACCAATGAAACAAGCAACAAACAGACATACAGTGTGATGAGTATTATTTGTAGTTTACTCTTGAGGTGAGAGTCTCACTAAGTTGCCCAGACTAACCCTGAATTCAGGATCCTCCTGGATGAGCCTTTCAAATAGCTGGGATTACAGGCGTGCACACACTGAGCTTGTGATGGTATTTAATGCGAGACAAAAAAATGTATATTGGGAGCACCCAAAGTTGATGACCGCGGAAGGTTTTCATGGGGAATTAATATATCAACAGAGGCCTAGAAAATGAACAGAAATTAGCTAGGGGAATGGAAGAGTGTTTTAGGCTGAGAAAAAAGACACATGGAGGCCCAAGGTGGGAAAGGCTGTGGTGTGTTTGAAGACCCGAGAAAGTTGGCATCTCTGGGCCATGTGTAAGGGTGACGGGGGGATGCGGAGACAGAGCGGAGAGGGTAGAGAGGTAACGGGAGCTGGACAGTGCGTTATGACAAAAGATTCTGGTAGCTGCAACAAGAAGTACAGACCAGGAGCGGTGAGGCAGAAGTCGGGGAGAAGTTAGCAGCCTTCAGTAGGAACAGCGGGTGAATAAAGGCTTCCCTCACTCTCACTTCTAGTTCCATTTGGCCCTTCCACTTGCCTGCAGACCCCTGTGTATGAGAACACACATGGTACTGGAGGCTTCCCAGTCTTCATCCTAGCCGATCCCTTTTCCAGTTCCAACCAAAACAAGAGAGACTACATCTCAGACTCTGCCTTGCCAGGATTCATCTCTGCGAGCTCTCTTCCACTTTATCACGAAATCGCTATTTTCCTTCATAGTAATACAGATGTTTGCCTCTTCTCTTAAATTTCTTGGTTTATTTAGTCAATGTCTACGAAAAGAGAACACTATCCCCAATCATTCTCTTCCGTGTCATTCTGACCAGTGTGCTGGTTCATGGCATTTCTTCTTCTGAAAGTATTCAGTGTAATTATTTCACACCTTCCAGAGAGCTCACAAAGACTGTTCCAGCGGAATTTGTATGAAGAAGAAGTAGAGGAGGACGAGGAAGACTGAGGGGAGGGGGAGGAAGAAGACAACTCCCTCCCATGACTTTTGAGCTCAAGGATGGTCCCTGTGGAATCAATTTAACGCGGTGGAAACTTCTAGCCAATAGTGGCAACAACTGAATACATTACGGTACATTTACTTAAAAACACCACATAGTCACTAAAACACGATCATATGTACAACTATTAGCAAGAGGAAAAACATATGTGATACATTATTGAGTAGAAGCAGGGATTAAACTATATTTGCATTTGTAGAATTTCTAACAGTAATATCCATATGAATAATGATTTAACGAGAACAAAAGAAGAAACACATTTGATCAATTGATGTGGTAAATTCAGGTTTGCTTTTTTACCTAAAAAATCTTATTATCATAATTTTGATGCAGTGGATCAAAAAAAAAAAAAACCAAAGGAATGTGCTAAAGCAAGTTTCAGAAACCAGCATTTCTAGATATGGTTATGTTGAAAATTAGACAAGTTTAATCATAATTATTTTACTTAACAATGGAAGGGTTATTTATTTTAAAAAGTATTTAAGCAAATATACCGTTTAAAAAAGTTAATAACTGTTTCATGGTCTTTTTAATTTTTTCCCTCCTTAAGATTTTGAATCTTAGAAGTTTACTTCAAAGGCAAAAGAAAATGCCTGCACCACGTATTTGACTTGGGTGAGTGTTGGGAATTCAAGGGCAAGGACAAGCCTGACTTGGCCAGTGGGACTGCACTTAGCTGAATCACTTCCTTTTACCTGTACTCAGGTTTACCTGGCACGATGGCAGCACGTGAGCGAGAACAAGTCCGACATGGCCCTGAAAGAGTCCGTATAAGAAGGAAGTTAACCGCAGTGCCCTAGCTTCTGCTCATTCCAACACAAAACGAAAGCATGCCCTTGAACGTGATACAGAAAAGCCACACGATCTCACAAAGGATAAAAAGACGTGCAGTACCCCACCGCTGCAGAAATCCACAATTCTGTCCCCGGGCTTGGCCTGATTTATCACCACATAGACAAGGTTGTTTAGCTGCTGTTGCTTCCTCAGAGCTCGGTCACTGGACATCCGGCCTGGGAAAGACAGAGATGAGGAGAACATGACACACCGCGCGGGGCTACCGCAGACACGCTTGGAACAGGAGGGGGAACTGGGCATACAGAAGAACGAGACAAATTTATATAACTGACCATGAGGGACCCGATGACCGGAACACAGAGATTCACGCTACTCCGCTTATTCTACTTTTGATTCGCTTATCAGATTTATCTTTCAATTATATAAGATGTCCTTCAGTGAGTGGCAACAACACTGAAACTTCAGTCTAGAATCATTAGCAAAATGTTTAATAAAATTAGGTTGGATGGTGCAAGCCAGTAACCATTGCTTCCCCTTTATCACTCTCAGACACAGACAGCAAAGCTGGTCTGCTTTCCATACATTCCTTAGGTCTCCCTGTAGAAATATGTGTAACAAATGAAAGCATTTCTGTCATTTAGCTGGCACATCCTTGAACCCGTAAGCCTTCTGTGAGGGCATTTAGAAACCGTGACCCTTGGCTGCCATGTTGTCTGAACTCTATCAGTGGTGGTTGTATTTAGAGAGACTTAGCTAAAATGGTAAATCTCTGGATTTTTTTTTCTTTGAAGCTTTGAAGCTTTCTTTTCTCGTGAGTCAGACATAGAAATTTAATGCAGTTATAGATTAAAGATAGGGCATTTCCAAGTATGAAATGCCTTGGGACCAGCAGCATGAAAATATCTTAACCTCACTTCAAATGCCACTAGTCAAGTCCACGAAAATATCTGTAGAAGGATGAAAACATTATTTGTTTTCACATATTTTCAGTGCACTCTTTACAAGAGTGGTTTGATTTAAAAAAATTTAAAAGATACTATGGGTTTTGGAGACCATTTTAACAGAAACAACATACTACTTTCTTTTTTCTTTCTTATGTTATTAAATTAAATAAAAAGCATTAGAAAAATTTTACTTTAGAACAAAATAGAAAATTATAATTTCACAATTCAGAGCACAACACCTATACATTATATTCATAATTGTTAACTTTCTATTAAGCATACAATGTATCATAAATATCTTTATGTCAGTGGATCTCTCTGTACTGAATACCGTGATGGCCTCAGAGTATCTCATTAACAATACACTGGAATTATGTAACCAACTCCCTATTGGAGTAATGCGATCATCTTCAACAGTTGGATATTTGAATACCATCTCAATTATTCAGCACTGCCTAAGGTGAACTGCAAACAGGAAGAGTTTGTTCGTCCATGGACTGGTGAGTTCATTTGTGAAGATCACTGAATACGGCTTTTAAAGGAATTGTCCACATTTTTCTCTACTAAAATAATTGTAAAACATTTTAAACATGAAGTGAAAGCCCCTGTAATCCTATCCTCCATGGATATCCACTCCTAAGTGATTTTATTAAGAAGAGTTTCAAACACATGGCACAGTGGAAAGGCCCTCATGGTGCACGCCTCCGTATCAAGTCCACTTTTCATCACTATAGTGAAAGACGTGAGGCAGTCTACACCAGAAGAAAAAGAGGCTTATTTAGCTTAGTTTTAGGGGTTCAAAGTCCACCCAGCACAGTGCTGGCTGTTGTGCGGCCCTGGAAGATGGCAGGAAAGAGACCTAAGGCCAGGCAGGGTTGTGTAACCGCTCGCCCCGTGAGGACTCAGCCGGAGCGCAGTGCTCTTGCTGAGGTAGTGAGCAGTGATTCTCACCCCGATCCTCAGCCTGCCTCCCTGGGGACCAGGTCTCCAACACACAGACCTGCCGGAGGACAAGCAACACCCACGCCATGTCGCTTCTACCCTCCACCTCCACCGCACTGGTAACAACTCACTGGGCTGGATTCTTAAGGTGCCTGGCCACCCAGCTGCTGCTCATCCCGATGTGCATTATTTTTATAGCAATGTAGATTTCATGTGGGAAAAACAGAATTGGAATGATGGAGGGGGAGGGAGTCAATACAAAACAAAGCAAAAGTCTGTCGTGGCTCTTTGGAGAGACAGTCACAAATTCTGCTACTAGCAGGAGCCACCAGGAGCCAAGGAACAAGCCCGGGCATTTCTGTCTTTGCCCTCTTTGTGGATTTCCTAGTAGCTCCCTGCTGAAGGATTTTGGTAAAACAGAATCAAAAGAAATGAACTTTCTCTTAAGAATAACAAGTTGGGATAGAAAATTTTATTAAATGGCATATAGTATTTAATAGCAAATATACCATATTGCTATTACAAATTTAGAATTACCTAAAATCCTTAGGTCTGTTTCTAAAGCCAGTGCTGATAAAGACTGTTTTTCTTTGTGAGGCTGCATCTGTGTGTGTGTGTGTGTGTGTGTGTGTGTGTGTGTGTGTGTATATACATACATACATATACATACAAAGGAAGCTTGAAGGCACAGAGGTACTTTCCAGGGTTGTGTGTGAGTAGAGAGACTGTTACGTTGCAATATTCACAAAGGTTGAGCTGAAAATACGGCAGACAGATGCCTCAATACTTGCAGGAAAAATTACCTCTAAGAAAGCATTCTCCTTTCCATTTCAGTTTTATAAACCTTATGAAGCTTCTGGAAAACTGAGCAGAATCTCAAATATATTTGAACAAGGTAAAAAGTGGTATTTTGGGATATGGTATTAATTTAAAAATCAAACCCTACTTCCTATTTTTATCCAGTATCCTTGTGCCCAAGACATCGTGCAGCAGTACACAATTACAATCTACTTTAGCCTGACTAAAATGAATCATTCCTTAGGTGCAGTGGAAAAGAAACCCCAGAGCAGAATGTTCTGGCCCAGTCAGGGGGTTTGTTCTATGATGTCGTTCTCCTGCAACGGCATCTCTAATCCAAGTTGGAGTACTGGTTATTTAGACAACTTTAGTGTTGTTTGCATTGATTTCTCAAAGGCAGTACAGGGCAGAAACCCATTTTTAAGCTAAGGAGAAGGCATGTTAAAGCAGCGACATTTTCCGTTGGTCCAGAATAACAAATAATGAACAAGAATGTCAGTGGACACAGTGCCCTATGCAGCCAGACCGTGTGCGAAGTCTAACAACTCATGCCCCAAATCAGGCAGCTCTTAACTTAGCGTTCTTAGCCTGAAGCAGCAACATACCTTGCATGTTAAATTGTTTATAAGAATACAAATGGCTGGGTTGGCTACATATAAGACTTATCTGCTAAAATGCTCTTGCTGTTTTGTGTTCAAAGCATTTTTTTGTTTGTTGCAAAACCATATCTTGTGAATTTTAAATAATATATGTAATTAAATATAGGGACAAAGAAATGGCTAAAATGGCTTAGATTTTTAAAACATGATTTTGCTTGAAAAGCTATAAAATCAAGAGAGCAAAGCAAATTTCTTCCACAGAGAAATTTGCTGGAGTGTACACCACTCTTCTCGGGAAGGTGTGAGACAAGGGAACAGACCGGCGGCACTGACTTGGGCCAATGACAGGAAAGAGGGAAGGTGACAAGCACTTATTTCAATGTTTTCACAACATCCTGATTAGCAGCACCAAGACAGACAAGCTGGCAAACGCCTTTCTCAGGGCAGTGGACTGGCCAGCTCAGGCCCTGTGCACAGGAAGGACGGATTTCCTGCTTCAACAGCCGCCAGGCCCCTGGGTATCCAGCACTTGTCCACCTGCTGAGGATCCACTTCCAAGTGGACTGCAATCCCTGCCTCCAAGGGACTAACAGGGCACCTGAGAAGAAGGTGTGTGGTTCTCAATTCTCGGCAGCAGTCTGGGCACTGAGGGTGCAATGCTACCGCTGAGACTTTAGAGAGGGCATCACAAAGACCTGGAGCACTGCAGTTTACTCTGGAGAAACAGAAATTTACTGGACAGACCCTGCTGGGAAACCAGGTCCACAGAAATCTAGCTTATTGCATGGAGATGAACAACGAGGGATTGGTGGGAAGGTGGGAGCACAGCAGATGGACCAGACTAACTCTGCCTCTCCACATCCTGCAGAAAACATGCTCTAATATTTAAAGTGGGACCTTAGAGATTAGTTTTATCCAATTAAACAGTGCTGTTATTCTTACATTGCATATGAAACATGTTCTCTTATAATGCTAGCTTGCATCACTTTTATCCTGGCTAAAGTGCATCTTCCAATTAGATAAGATTATTCCTAAAATTTTCAAGAACATTCAACCTCTGCTGCTGCTCATGGTTATTAATTGATTGAATAAAAATGGAATTCAATCATGAAAACTCACGGAGTCACGCAGGACTCTGTTTCTAGACGAAGACATCTGTTGGAGTCCACGTTGGCTTCTCCTTCCCAGGCCCCTCTCCCCTGGGAGCGCCCTCCAGTGCTGTGCTCACAGCTTCTCTCTCTGCACCACAGCCTATCACTAAGTGGGCTTTCCCATTCGCGGGACACAGTACAAACGATGCCTAGGGCTCTGACTCACGGTCCAGAGGATTCGGTGCATGGTCAGCTGGCTCCAAGGCAGAAGCAGCGTGGTGTGCGGAGCAAAGCTGCTCACTTCGTAGCACCCAGAAAACAAAAGCAGGGGCGGGGTAGCTCCAGCGAGAACACCTCCCAAAGGCACAGCCCACTGACACCCCCACGCACCTAACAGCACATTCAGCTATGGACATCAGTGGATGAAACCACGGAGAGCTACAGTGCCCCGTGATCCAGCCATGTCTCCCAGGAGGCTCTTATTCCAGTCCAGCTGACACTAAGATTCACTGGCACACTGTATCACTAAAGTCTCTTCACAGTCCACCATGAAACATTTCTCCTCGGTTTAAGCATTTGTTTAACATTTCTTTGTTGCCTTAAGAAAAAAATAAACACGCACACACAAAACAGAAACAAAGAAACTTTGACTTCTTCGTGAGAACACAAGCACCTTAGCAACCGGTGTCCTGACTATTCTGCCAGTGTCACAGCCTGCTGCCTTCTCCATGTCCCGGGTGTCCACAAGCGACAGCTCCTTGGATTCAAGCAGTCACCACCTTCATATGGCTGCTCCCTTTATTTGAATCCTTTCTTTAGAACCTGAGGAACCAACCCCATC